TCTTTTACTGTCTTAGATCCTACTGTGTCATAGAATTGAAGGTTCACCATAGGGCCACAATTTCGACTCGGGACGTGTCCGTTCAGTTCCGTCAGTATCAGTGATGACAAATATTGTTTTCTTGCTTTATAATGGACGTCCGGCACCGTCCCGTGCTCGGGCCGTTCAGTCTTATCTTTGCTTTCCTTTTCATATAAAGTTGTAAGAATCATTGCTAATTCGCCATACGTAAACTCGATCTTTCTGGAAAATCACTGAATCCAAACTGTATGGAAAGGTGTGAGTAACCGTCACTGATATATCACGAACATCATTGACACGGCACTGATACGGTACTGATACGTTACGAATATGTGTAAATGGACCTTAATTCCCTCGAGGCGAAAATCTAAGTCATACAAGTCATCATTAAATACGACTTACGCTCAATTACTTTGTTGTTTTCCTTGAATGCTCTGTGTCGTATTCTCAATGCTCCAAATTATAATCGGCTCATGAGTTGCAGTCAGATCATCAACGTGCTCCAAAGTAATATTCTTTCAAAAAGCCAGCATCCACAGTGTTCACATGTATTTGTATTTTTATAATTTGACTGTCTTATGGACGACGTTGACTCACTTAGATTCGTTAATTTGCTTCCTTTTGTTTTACTTAATAACTAACGAAATCTTGTTATTCCGTATGTCTGTTGATTTGCAGTAACACTTGATAAGGACCCAAAAATAGGGTCGAAACGTTGTATTAAATAAATACAGGAATATGCCAGTTCGGTTGACTGCAAGTTTCCTGTTTTAATTTTTTCTCCTTCAAAAAGCAGCTCGTGAAGCACCTCTTTAATATATTTAAATGCTACTAGAATATATACTACGCTTATCTTTTGACTTGTACAACACAGATTTTCGCCTCGGGTCGTTTCGACGCTGTCCATTAAATACCTAAATAGCTGTACAATAAAAAAAATCCCATCAAAATGAAATCCATTTAAACTCAGATAACATCTCGTCTGTTGTATCTAAAAATTAATTCGCCAAACGCCAGTCATCTGCAGTCACTTGAACCCCGGGGACCGTCAAGGTTCCGGCGGATTTTAAATAAAGTCGCGGCGTCGAGGTAAAAATTTAACTTCGTTGCGATCGGTAACGTTCGCGCGCGCGCACGCGATGCGTTTTCGTTAGCGCGTTATTGGGCAGCTCGTTCGACATACAAATTACAGTAGCAATGTACACGCGGCGTCGCACGTCCGGCCCTCAATCACCCGGACGGAAAATAATATCACGGTCCTCGATAAAACGCCGACTCGGCAACTCGAGCCTGCATATGGCGCGGACAGATGCTCTCCGCAACGAACCGCTCTTCCGCACACCGCTCTCAGCTTCGAGACGCGCGAAACGGACGTCGGAGCGAGAAACGCCGTCCGTCGCACACCTCCGTGTCGGATTTCGCGTCGAACGTATTTCCCTCTTTTTTTTGTCCCTCCCCTCGCCCATTCCCCGCGCCGACGTCACACGACACCTTTGGAAATCGGGCACGAATGTAATCCGCGATAGAAATGACGGTGGTAGCGTGTGCCGACGCGGTAATTAGGGTGGTGCCTTCGTGAATACCGAGAGCGTGCAAGGTGGACCGCAAATACATATTGCTATAATGATCGCTGGGTCCCAACGCCGATCGCAGCCGACATCTGGGTATAGCGTTGCCGTAATACACGAGATCATGCACAAACTCGACGGGTTTTTCAACAATGGTGTTGCCCCTGTTACGTTTTAAATTTCATTATACCTAATTTTATTAAGTGCTACATATTTAGTCGCAGGAACACAGCCTTGTTTCTTTAAACGTAGATATAATTTATATTAGCCTATTCTTTTGCGCGGAATTCTATAAAATAACATTGTCAAACTTGGTCAAGATCTTTCCGTGGGTTTGGATGTTAAAATCTATTGATTTCAGGCTTTGAGATTTAACAACTTCAGTGTTTTCTTGACCATATCTGACATTTTTAATAATACAGAGAATCTAGTGCGAAAAATATTACCTCAGCCAGGGTTTGAACCTGGACTTCCCTACACTCTACACCCACAGAAAAATTTCCCGGATCCAATGCTATTACACTTTAACGTATTATAAAATAGCGTCGATATAGCGCCAATCATATTTATTATAGAGAAAGGAATATTTTAATTTTAAATGAAAAATTCGAAAATCTAGAATAAAATGATAGTACGTATCGTCTTTTGTCGAAAATCGCGGTGCCAACTTCGTGCGTTATAAGACGGAGGGAAAATTTATTCTAAACGCAAGAATATATAAACTTACATTTATATAAGTTACTCTTGTCTCAATATAGTAAGTCAATCTTTTTTAATTCGACAGAGGAGAATAAGAATTATTGATTTTATTTTGATATTGTCTTATTTTTATACTAAGTGAGGTTGCGAGAAATATAAATGCGTCCAGAATATTTTTTGTCTCGGTAACAGAAATCCTTTCTGAGGGTGTAGGCGGGCCGTCTCACCAATTCGACCACCGAGGCATGTGGTAGGAAAGTCCAGGTTCAAACCCTGGCTGAGGTAATATTTTCTGTATTATTAAAAATGCCAGATATGGTGCAAAAAAACACTGAAGTTGTTAATTGCTGCCGGTGAGACAGAATTTCTTATATATACATAGATTTTATATGTTTCTACATTCTTTGCACGAGCACGGTACGAGAATTAATTTCTCAAAAATTAGACAAGTGGAAAAGTGTCACAGAACGAGCGAGATTATTTCTCCGCGACGCACGCGAATTGATCCGAGTATCTCCGAAGAGCGAGACGCGTTTATCCCCGTGCAATTTACGGAACGCGAGAGGGACTCGAAGGACGTAAAGGTTTACGAAGGCCGGGATTCGCCCGGCACGATTTCCAGCCACGTAGGGCGGCATTACACGGGACGGGACGACTCCGGGCACCGTGGCAAATGCAAATGTCGCGCGGGCACCGCGTCCCGCGAGGTCCGATGGGGCCCCTTCGTGCTCACGGCAGATCGACGATCGCAATCACCGATGTCACGGGGACGTCGACTTATTGGCCGCGACTCCCCTGATAGATCGATACCACGCCCGTCATTACGTCCACCCCGCGGAACGTCGCGGATACGCGCCGCGGCGTCCTACAAATAACACGCTGGGTGCTTTGCTAATGAGGTATCCGAACGGCCGGATGCCGGCAATACACGTGACCGGATCTCCGCGCGTTTTCATTCCCTCCCCCGCGCGGGGAGCCTCCTCTCCCGCCGACCGCGCGCGGTGCCCACGATTTCCATGCTTCCGCGCGCGCGGTATCCAGGATACCCTCCCGGGACCCACGAGAGAGGATCGCGCAATCTAAGATTACACGCAGCTTACGGTGCGTTTGTTAGAGACACGCGCTTCCCTCGCGGTAATGATCGATCGCGATTACGCTTTGACGGAGCCGAAGATTAAAATTTAATTACGTATATTTAGGAACTCGTGTACGAACGTGTACACGATGAAGAAGCCAAACCTCTTACTTCTTTGCGTAGGAATATAGTTGAGGAAGAAACATATAATTGTAGATTTAGGCCACGTTCATTACGTAATTAGATCTAATATGCATAAATATAATTCTGAAATTGCGGTTTAATGAAACAATGCGCGTTGCATCGAACACTTGGAGTATCGTATTACAACTTACAACCCCAAACGTGTGCGTTCCTTTTTGTCTGCGTCCGGTTCTTCACCAACAGCAATGTTGCAAAAGTTAAGATACGCAATTAGCAAATGATCCTTTGATCCTTAAGAAAAAACCGTCTGCCTTTTTTTCTTAAGAACAAACGTATTAATTAAACGCGCGTTCTTCCTGGCACGATCGAGGCTGCATTCGCGTTCGCAGCAAAAAGTATAATGGACATCTAATTGTTTAAGTTCGAACAACACTCGCTTGTACAGCCGTACGACGTGTTGGCAATGAGCGAAACTGTCGCGATCCTTGCACCGCAACAATACAAGAAGGATACAGACAAGCGGAAAAAAACTCAACTCAACGAATGTTTATTGTAGCGCATGATATTGACGTCTGTCGGAAGAGCGCGTAAGATTGATTACGTACGGATTACGTAAGTCGCTGAACAAATAGTTATGGAGGGTCAAAGGGTTAAAGAATGTAAAACTCACATGCAAATCCGGTCGCGTACGTTACTCGGCTGTACACACCTTTTTTTTGCAATCGACTGTATTTTACAGTTGATTATACCGGCAGCCTTGTAGCACGTGCCTCATTAGACGTTAAGTTACTCGTACCGAGTCGTTAGACGGTATTGAATGTTTAATTCATCTGCGAGACACATCGCGCTCGTTTCATATTAAATATTTTCTTACATGGATAATACCTTCCACTTTTATAAGCTACTCTAACGATTTTCCATCAGATTCGCGCGATATGCACTTAACAATTTTTTAACCTGCATTCCATGCGGTTTGTATACTTTTACGACTTTGTATCTTTAACCCTGCGTTACTCGCACGAAGAGTAAAATACATCCCAGCCTTAGAAATCTATTAATTCGCGGAATAAGACATTTTTATCGACCGAATGCTGCGATTGTTTCGCAGTTGAAGAAAAATTTTTACATGTACCTGCATGTAGAAAATAGAATATTATCAACTTTCATTTAATTGTAAATCATCGAAGACAGCAATGAAAATTGAATTATAACGGAATGTAAAGTATCATATATCCTGCGGGAGTAATTACGTTAAAAAAAACCGCGAGTAGCTCAAGTATAGCTTTTTTTCCAGAACGTAAAGGATAACTCGTATAGAAAGGAACCCTTCGGGGTTTTTCTAAACCGCGTTATAATGCGCCAAATGCAATCGTTAGAATAACACGTGACCATTTATTATGAAGCAGGGGTGTAACAATCGATTTAGATGATCTCCGCGGAATCCTTTTTATCCCCGGCGCATTCTCTACGGGGAGACATATTTCAGCACTCACCACATGAATCCCCTCGGTGTCTCTCCTGAGATCGCCGCTCCTCTGGCCCGCGGTGACGGCGGCGCTCAGGTGATTGTAGTGGTGCTGGTGCAACGTGTTGAGCGTTTGCGTATAAGGATCGCCGACGAGGTAATCCAGGTGTTGCGGTTGGCCGAGGCCGGGATGCTGGGGGCTAGCGGGCGCGTGGTGATGCGAGGGAAACGGGGGTGGGAAGTAAGGGGGTTGGAAGTCGGAGGCGGTCGGCAGCGAAGCGCCCCCGTGGTGGGGCATGCCGCCCCCGTTTCCGTTTCCCCGGTGTCCGTGGTGATGGGCACCGGAATAGGGCGACGAGTTCCCGCCGCCCAGCGAGGAGATGCCCCCATGACCAGTCAGACGGTCCTACAATGAGAGAGAGAAAAAGAAAACCGTATATTTAAATTATCCCGTGGGACACAATTATCGGGTGAATGCGTAAATTGACCGTAGTCTTATCAGACTACGGATTGAGATTGAGATTAGATTGAAATTTGACGAATCAGAGTAACATTTATTGAACTTGATATCGATAAATAAGAATACGCTTCAGTGTCGCCAGCAGTAATTGACAACGTCAGTGTTTCCTTGACCGTATCTGGCATTTTTAATAATGCAGAGAATTCATTGCGAAAAATATTACCTCAGCCAGGGTTTGAGCCTGGACTTCCCTACACTCTAGGCGGGCGTCTCGCCAATTCGACCACAGGCAATATTTGTCGCAATAACAGTATAAAGATGTCTTCGCGTCTATTTTTCGATTTTAGACTGCGCATCGATTAGGGTCGGCCGTACACAGAATATTAATAAACTTTACTCTGATTGGCCAACTTTCAGTCCAATATCAGTCTCAATCCCTAGTCGGATACGGGCTTTAGAGAGTACAATCTTACAGTAAGGACAGCTATTGTCATTTTATTGAGTGTAAAAGGGTGTCGAAAAGTTACGAATATGCGACGTATGAAGAAATGAGGAAGCTTCAGATTACACGTGGGGCTGTGCTGAAATCTCTTCAGATGAGCATTGTACTCTGAAGAAATTGTTTCTTATTGCACAACCCGGATCGCTGACGGATAGATAAGCATTTTGTCATGGGCATTTCCGTTTCTACATTAATAAACATCGTCCCTTTTGCTTGTTTTTTTTTAAGTCGGAATACCTTTCGGTGAGGCTGAATATCTCACGTAACGAAAGATATCGACGTGAGATAAGAATTCCAGTTTATAGGTGTACCAAAATAGATTGTAATATCGTGTTAAGTTTTGCTACTAGGAGAGCCCAAAAGGTTAATCAATTAGCTTCGGTAAAACGGAAGAAAATGAATCTTCTTCCATTTACAAGATCCGCGCACAGTCACCCGGCGAGGGATTCACTTCTCGTGGCGGTAATTACAGACTATGCACAACGTACATCCGATCCATTCGAGATAAGAGATACGTCACACACATCACGTGTTGCATCTGATGCGAAAGGGTTAAGCATTGCGCATTAGCCAGAGCGGACCGAAATTACATGGTAACCAACGTAGCAACAGACATCAGTAACGCACGGAAATTTCCTCTATCGGATTAAATCTACACGTAATCCTGTGACTCATTTAGAAAACACCTGTTTCAATAATTTTCGGTAGCTTCCGGATTAACTTCCTGGCTTTCATTATAACGTAGACCATGTAATAATCGAAGAAAATAGTGTCATCAAAATAAGTGAATATTACTGTAGACTCTCTTGTCTAATAGTAGCAATTAAAGTATAAGAAACAATTGAAACAATTCAAAAAGTCCTAGTCGGTTGTTAATATTCCATTAACAGTAATCGTGTAATATATAATTGTTGTATCATTATTATAACTAATAATATTATAAAACTGATGATAATAGAACTGATGGTGAAGTTATAATAAAAAAATACAATTGAATTCTCAATTGTACACGAAAAAATGCCATTTTTGCTACCGCAGCTAATCATGGTTTGCTAAAAGTATCTTGCTGCCATAACTATAAATTTCTAAACCACAGCAAACGGTTTGCTGTAGCACCTAATGCAATAGGCACATGTAGCAAAACATTTAACTATCACAACTGAAATTTAGTTGCCACGTGCGGTTTTTAGCTACGGCAGTTACACTTTTCTGTATCTACAATTGTGAATTCTTTTAACATAATTAATTTACGTTTACTTATTCTACTAATAAATCAGCCCTAATCGCGGTTTCCACTAATTCTAATGCATATAGCCGGGATAAGCCGGGCTCTAAAATTTGTAGCGCGGCAACAAGAGCGGTGATTACTATAGCAGACAGAGGCGAACATAAGCGGGCGGAAACTATGCAAATCTCATAATAATAGGCGCGTGCATAAACAGCTTATAAAATGCAAGGCCCGACAGTTCAGCGGATCGGGGAATATAATCTCTAAACTATAACCGATAGATATCGTGTTGCTGCAACATGATAAGAGATATAAAGGATACAATCATAGCTTAAATTATTCATTATAATACATCGATGTCTTTCTAGTACGCTTTACTATTTAAATGTCTGAAAGAGATAAGATAAGACAGAAACAGATAATTTTACAGCTACTACTTAGCATTCAGCGTTTCGATCTTCTTTATCTCCTGAATCATTTCCTTCGTCTTTTACTTATTAACCATATTTAGAACTTTGTATATATTTTTATATTTTAATTATTCTTTACATAATTTATATAATAATCTTCTAGAGTTTAATACATTTCATTTATTTTAATAAGTTTCAATAGTTATATGTATTACATTTACAATTCATGTCTTGTCTTTCTCCTTCTCTTGCACTTTTCTAAAATTTATATTGATCCACATATCGTAGTCCCATTTTTACGAACGGAAAGATCCGCGCGCATAACATTGGACAAAAACGGTCACTCATTGTCAGTAATCGAGCAGCAAAGCGAATTATTTTAAAGATCTGGACATCCGACGGTGAAAAGGAAGCTCGTTGCTTCCCGTAATTTAACTTAAGTTTCACGCATAAATTCGAGATACGCAGATCTCGATTTACCGGATCCATCGACACCTTCTCGCGCGCGGTCCAGCGGTGCCGCTTAATCTGGCCCGCGTGATCTCGCGATACGAGTTCTCGATTGCACGGTGTTATTCACGTAGATAGTATCACCCGGGGTGTACGTCTGGATATCGGGGAGGCTTTTTGCCGCGGCGCGCATCACCTCGCGTGAGCCATTAGGTCTGCGCTCGTCGCGATACGATCTCGAACGACTCTATAGACCGCGAAAAGGCCGGACTGCTAGTCTCAACGGTCTCAACCCACGTGTATTACCTGAAGGGCGCGTGCGGCGTCCAGCGCGTCGGGTTCTTTCGAATTTGTTAGAAACGTACGAGCGTGAACCCTCGGTACTTCCGTAGAGAATCGAATCCCTCAGAATTGGTGGAGGAATGATGGAACTCGGAGATACGTGGCACCTATCTTTTCCGATTGACCTTTTCAACACAGCCGCGGAACCGAACGCCCGCCGTAGGGCCGGTCGTAATCTCTCGACGTGACTAATGCTCGAAAACGCAGACTTTTCGTAAACCCCGGCCCGCGGCTACACACTTGCCGACGAAAGGACAAAGAGCGATGACTCACGAATTATCGTTTGGTTGATTTACTTATGTGTATGTGTGGTAATTGATTATGAGAGATACTGGAAATATATTCTGAATATACAAAAAGATATTTATATCGATAAGCATAAACCCGAGTCGAATATTTTGGCCTCGGTTTAGCCTCGTGTAATTTTTTAATTTGGAGCAACGAGGTCGAACTAAGGTCTTTGTGGCGGAGAAAATATATTGAATTTTTGACCGATGGGCCTGAAAAGAGTCGCTATTTCCCTTTTAGCAGTAGAGGCCAATGCGGGGGTAAGCAACAGAGGTTCAGTAGATCCTCTTCGGCCTAAGAGGTTTCAAAGAGGGTGGAATATTTTATCGCATTCTCTTTGAGGATTAGAATGAGGTTAAACACAGCTCTTTTTACTCATCTGAGCCTCAAATTGGAGTTTCAAACCGACTCCGAGGTCCAAATGAAGACAGAATAGAATTGTGGCCCATTCCGGGACCAAATACTCGACTCGGGAACGCTCGTGTGTAACGTGTCGAGATAAAGCTGGAGAAACGTCCCTTTCGCAAAATGATCTTCTATATTTTCATCATTTGTCGCATCAATTTATATGCATTAGTACAAGACTATATTCTCTATTGCTGTGCCCGCTTTACATCTGCTTCTAGCTATGTGTCCGGCGTGTCAGTGCGTGTTGTATAAATATATAGCTGTCATATAATTAAACTTGTCATTTATTGACCATTAGTTCCGCGAGGGATATGCTTTTACTAATTTCATAAAATTTCTCGAAATGTATGCCACGCCGTTAAGTATTTCGAGCGTCGTCTACCAGCGAGCGCTTCTAATCAACAGAGAGTAAAATTTATCGTTGCTACTCGATCGCCTCCTAAATTAGACTTTCGAAATCGTAGCCTGAAACTTCAGCACTACATCGCGAAGGATGTGTGCTTACATAAAACAGTTTATTACACGTCGAAAGATACAAGTCGGACGCGTTTGCTTTTACGGGCATTGTTACCGACGGTCAAAGCGTATTGAAAGAGCACCGTCACCGTACGCGCCAAGAAGAAGTGGCACACACTCGCGCTGCAATTTTTCAATAACTTTTCGCACGACGAAAATTGCTTCGAACAAAGATCGCGGACGTTAAAGGATAAAAACTTTTCAGAAAGTAAATCTCATACGTTCTAAAACGTGAGAAGGCAAATTACGACAAACCGTGGGCGGTTAGAAACATAATTATCTGACGTATGCTGCGCGCAGATACAGCGCGGATACTCGTGATTGAAGGCAAACACGGGGATAGGAAGGAAAGTCGAGAGCCGAAAAGGCGTATTTTAAACGTCGGATATGTATTTGTCTTGTACTCGCTCTTAATCAGGTGTGCCGAATCGTTGCCGAACGGCGCGCGCTCTCTTACGCCTACAAAGTTGAGGCGCTGTAACGCACGCTCCCGGGATCATTGCCAAATAAACCGATGCCAATCGTAATGCCGCCGCGGGAAAAGGAGAGGAGGCAGGAGGTGAAATCGTTGATGTATGAGCATGACGTGGGAATTCTGTATCGGCGATATCGGGTAACGGGCGTGCGTGATATTTTAAGCTGAACAATCCGCAAAAGCGCCGGTCCCCCTTCGCGGAGAGCGCGGCCGAACTTTCCTGCTGAGATCACCGGTTGATAAGATTGGAGAAAGCGTCGCTACACACGCACACACTTGTACACGTGTACAATTAATAACCAATACGCCGGCCTCGCGCATAGCGAA